GTACTGTCCTCTCAACCTCAAGCTCAAGTAATTCAGCCCCTATGGAGCAAAATGTTCCCCTTTCTCGTTCCCTTCTTGAAAGTTTTGCCTACTCTGTGTTGCATGTTTGGAATGATAATATATCAGGCAGAAATGTATGCAAGTTTAGGCCTCCAACTAATCATACCGTTGGTATAGACATTTCCGCAAAGTGGCGTAACGGACTAAAGTTACAATAAGTTCAAAAACAAAATGCCTTTAATCTATAAGAGGCCCCCGGCAAAAAAATTGTGTATGTTATGTTACTTGGAAGCTTGCATCAGTAATGTGAATTACGAGTGCAAGGGGCCTCAATGATATGTCAGCCCAAATGAATGAAAGGTTTGTTGAATACCCTCTTTGCTTGTTAATGGTTATACCTTGGGGGCCTCAAACTGAGAATGTTTCAAGCACGAAAGACAGTTGACTGCTCTTTAAAATTACATTGTGCTCATGTATATGGAAAATGTAAAGCGACTTTTCCAGTCCCGAATCCCCATATGCTGATACAATGTGAGCAAAAGAGCTTTCATTGGTTCGCAAATGAAGCAGACACAAGGCCTGCATTGGAAATTCCCCGATTGTCTGCGTGCAAGCAAGGATTGAGCTTGACCTATATACCTTAAAAAGTTTTCAGAATGTCTAGCTGTCCCATTTTTGAGCCAGATGTTTCAAGAAACTAATCAATGTTTGTGGCCTAAATGATCTTGTTAACAATTTGTTTCGCATAAAATTGCGAAGAAAACGCATAAAATCATACATGACGCTGGTCCACTCGTGTATAGTTTCATGCAGAAAAATGAAATTGCTCGAGCTCTATATTAAAATGGCAACGATGTGGCAAGCCAAAACCAAGACATTTATAAAGCGTTGTAGTGTTCAAAAGTGCACTGCTACCTAACAAACGCTTCAAATGACGACAAAAATCACCTTTAGCAAAGATTGAAAATACTTTCTCAACTTGTGGGTTATTGACCAGTAGATTACATAAATGAGGATCGATTTAAATCTAATCGCAACAAAGTTTAGAATTATTGTCACCGAAATATATTTTTGTTTTGAAACAAGATTGAATTAGATTATAAAGTTTACAAAAAAGAACACGCAAATACCTGCAGTCTTTGTGCGACCGAACACGCAAAGCACGCATTCGAAGCACGAATTCGCAATAGAGCATCATCAAGGTGGTCCATCTTGCGTTTACGGGAACGTTTCATTCCAACATTTTATCTACATTTTCCTCTAATTTGAGCTCTCCCCTCCACTTGATTATATCTCATATCTTTAGTTGATATCATCCGGTCTCACGTTTTGCTGTCTTTAATGACACCTTTTCACTGTCGCAGAGCGTTATGTGTCGACCGCCATTGTTCTTTTCAGAAGATCTCAGCTGCCTTCGGGAATAGCAGATTAATCCACGGTGATTTCTACTTTCGTAAATTCAGTACTTGGTGTGTTGCGACATAAAGCGCAGACCTATCCTGCGTGACTGAGCAAATATTATTTGAAATCGTTATAAATTCCTGACAGAATGTTCTAAATTGGCTCACAAACTAGCTTTTCATCCGATAAATTATTCAGTAAAATGTACCTTGAATCTGCTCTAAGACCATGACGTAGGATACCACATTAAATATATTATCCGAACATTGCTTTGACACTTATATATTCGACAGAAATGCTTTGACAAACCAGCTATCTGTTTACGAGCTTAGCAAATATAAAAAACCTATATGATTTCAAGAAATCCAGCCACATAATTATCTGAAGGCCTTCCACTTCATTTTAACAAAATATGTTTTCCTGTCAAATGCAAGTAACCTTTTCCGCGCACGAACGACCTGAGAGCAGCAAGGTGTCAAACCTACCAGCCATTTATTCCTGAGATTAATACGCTTGGATAACTTGGGGCTTTTTTGATAGGCAAATCCATTGAGCTGTGCTAAACTTTATGTTAAAAGATTACTGTAGAAAGGTAGTTGTAGAATTGAAAATACTTTGAGTGTCTTCTGTCGATATTAACGTAACACAGTGACGTTGATGTCTAAGCAAGGAACAAAGTGTGATGAACGGCCTAGGACTGTTTACGTCAAAGTTCAATACCGAGTTATTTCACTTACAGTAAGATGTCAAATGTTACGGAGTCGCTACATTTTTAAAGATGTCAAAAGTTGCAGAAATGTAAGCAAATAGCCTACTAGTCGTTGCTATCGTCTATTCACAAATTCTTTTTAATGCCAGATTTCCACTTAACTAAGCCTGCTCACGTCACCAGGTTTGCAATGGGCGGGAAAAGACTGTTTATTTCCTTTCACAGTGATTTATTGGGACAGAAAAATCCTTTAGACAATTTGACGCCAATTCATTATGCTTTCCTTTGAAATAATAGCTTCTGGGCTAATTTTAAGAAACTCCACATTAAAAATGCCGAAAATGATAATATTTTCATCAAACCAATGAGTAGAATATTTAATCAAGTTACAAACCCAAGAGTTCAGTTTGAACTTACGAAGAACTTAAAATCATACAGCTATCGACAGAAAAAATATAAAAATTGAAAATATCTAAGGAGGTTTTTTGTATTGGTGATATGGAAAGCATTACATATCAATAAACAACTCGGAAATAATTTCTCTTACAAGTTATTATATATGCATCGGCTATTTTTGTGAATAGGCCTAACAGGAATGCAAAAAGATAACGGGTTCAGACCGACATCTTTTAAAATATGTGTCTGGCATTGGCAAACTTAAAACAAGCGCGGAAAAGTGGAAGCGACGAATAATAATGAATAATAAAGGACTTTTAGCCCGGCACTCTCCAAAATTAAAAACATCGGGTACAAAAATTAAACAAGGGTAGGCGAAAACTTTTATTAGGGTGAAGAATCGAAACTGACTTGAGATGCAGATAGGTTCCCTGTTTTAATCAATCAGTGACCGCAAACCCTTTAATGTCGTTGACTAATTTTCACTCGAACACGAGCATGTAGCTTATCAATTTATGCAGAGACAAAGAAAAACGCTTCCAAAAATCACATCTTACTGAGAACAATTTCTATAGATATACATAGGTCATCAGGGCAATAAAAATTGCTGACTAAAAATAACAAAATCTTACTTCGTCAACTAAAAGAATGTATGGAATGTCCTTTTGGTTATTTATACAACTTAAGTTATTTTCACGATATCCAAAGTCATTTTCGCGATCTGTATGAAGATCTGCCTGTGTATCCTCTCTGTAAAAATGCCTCCGCAGCGGCAGTGGTTGGGTCAACCTTAAAATATAAAAGTTGGATTACTATTGCGAAGGGCATCAAACCAAATTATATGTTAAAAGTGTGACACGTAACATTTAACAGTACGACAATCTTATTTTCGTAGATTCCAACATTATTTGTAAATAAACTTTAAAAACTAGCAATTTCGTTTTCTTTTTCCTCTAAAGTATAGAATAATTGTAAAAATATTCCCAGAATTGAATAGGGTATTCAAAGACGTCATATTTTATGCACATAGGGTTGCCTGTCAAAGTTGGCAACCGTAATAAAAATAGGAAGACAGATAATCCCTTTTCCAAGGAAGCTTGGAACACAAATTCGATGTCGATGTCTATCCCTAATAACTCAAGAAATTGGCAAATTATCGGAGCTCGAATAATGAATAATGGATAACCAGATCCCAAAATCACGACAAATTTTCCTCATTATGACAAGAAGGGGTTTGATATACTGTGAAATCAAATAATTTGAAATGAAAATGGGCGCCTTTCCTGACGATCTAATTATCAAGCTTGACTTTTGAAAACCACTGTAGATGACATGACTAAAAATGATACATCAAAACTAAAGCTGGTTTTTCGGCTTAACGTAGCTTCGGGCAGCCCTGTTTACTGTTTCACTGTCAGCTGCATATCAAATGATCTTCTTAACAAACCTATTAACACCAGGTGGTATTCAAAAGACAAGTTTATTCTACTCACGAACTGATCAGTGACATCGCAAGCCGATGACAGGAGGGGTTGTAGGGCACTGGGGATGAATGACGTCATAATACTTACCGATCGATGATAGCGATGTGGTTGTTGCGCATACGGTGCCATGGCAGCAGAGGCACCAAATGGCTAGAGATAGAAACAAGATTTCGCGATTAGTGTGTTAATAGGAAATGTGATAAATAAAGTACATTCAGTCTTGCATTCAATATTTACTGTTACGGAAAAAAACGCAGCACTGCGTAGCAAAGAATAATAGGGAAGAGCAGATCTCTTGAACTTTTAAGTCTGCCTTGACAATCATTATTTTCAGTGTTTCATAACAGGCGTTATTCGGGCCTACGTATAAGATATTTTGCCTGAACGAAAGAAAGTAGAGAAGCGGAAGACCAAGATGATATTTGCTAGATAATATCAAGAACATTTCGAAAAATTCTTAGAAAAATGCTCCACTTATATTTGGGGGAGGAGAGGAAAAAGAATGATTGTACATGCATCCAACAGGGTGGAAACAGGCAAAGCAAGGCGTCTATTGAAGGATTGCAGACTTCAACCAAGCTTGCTTAGGTTGAATATAAAGGTCAATGGAGTATTAAGTAGGGGACTAGCATGTTTATATAAAAATCTTGCTGAGTATTAGAAGCAGCACGGACAAATAAACAAATGTTTACGTTGACTGTGATTTCAAAAATTCTCCCTGTAGCCACAAGTAGAAAATACGCAAAACTACCAGAGAGTAAATATCCCTTATGGCTGACGAAAGGCCACTAAACAAGACAAAAGAACAAATGACAAAACATTACAACGATAAACTGGTCGAATCTAGAAACTTTGGTCAAATGACATCATTTTGTAGTGAGTCGATGTATTATGCGATATTTTTAAAATAGATGCCATTTATCCACTAAAAATTTTACTTACCCTCATTTGCCTTGATTTTTCGAATTCTCTTATATAATCAGCATAACTGCCGTGAAGTAATGTCTCCTTTTTAACCCCATACTTTGAGCGACTGGAAATTAGAAAGTTAAATGACAATCAGAGTTGTGATGAGCCCATCAATTGTGATACAAAAACGTACGATTTGAAACTAACAATAATAATAAAAGAAAAAGAAAAAAATTCAAAATTCAAAGAAACCGTTTAATAAGTTGGTAAATAGCTGCAACGCACCCTTCTCTTTCGAAATCGTCTCCGTAGTGTCTTCTATGGCGATGTCCTAAACCAAATAAAATAACACAACAAATCAATTCAACAATAAAAAATTTCATAGGATAAACATTAAGTTTGTAAATAATGAAAGGCAACAGTACCAAACTGTTCGACGGACTCCAGTGGAAATGTTTGTTGTCGTTTGTTCTTGGGCGTTGCTTTGCTATTTATTTTAAACAAAATAGTCGTTTTCTCTCCTTGACTCTTCAACTCAGCCAGATGTACGCACGAGGTAGGCACGAGGTAGGCGCGAGGTATGCGCGAGTTAGGCGAGAGGTAGGCGCGAGGTAGGCGACAGATAGGGGAGAGGTAGGCGATTGGTCAAAAACAAGAAACCAATCACATGCCTTACCTCGCATTATATTCGATCCGCATCTGGACATAAACTGAGGAGTGTCGGACGGAGAGTACTTAGTGTGTTATGTACAAAAAGTACGTGTAGTATTTTATGTTTCGGCCTTTTGTGCTATCTTCAGATTAGTATTTATGTATGAACAAAAATCTACGTATATACCCCAAAATCCTTCTAATAACAACAATAAGGCATGCAAATCTCCAATTCGAAGCAGTTACTCCTTCAATCAAGTAACACCATCTAAAATCCTTGTCAATACTGAACATTCCTGAACGTCTTTGCATAGAAGAAGCAACATAAAACTGATAGCATAACTGATTTCTATATTGAGTTCTTACCAGAAGAATCCCGACGTCTTCTATGGTATGACGGGCCAGGCCGCTCGCGGTGTCTTGTGTCTTCATTGCGTGATCGTGACCTGCAAAGAAATAGTTATTAAGAACAGCCCAGATGCATGGCGTCCATGAATTTTTGTGCTTCCAAGGTAAGGCAGTTAGTACGGCTCTGGTGGAAAAGAATTTGGGTAAAGCGTCTGCAAGTGGGTGGGGCATTCATACAATATGAAAAGCCATAGATCAGTTAACAAGCATCATTTCTGCCTTAAAATGAAAACTGAAGACTTCCACAACAACAGATATATAAGTACGAAGAATGTGTCCTATAAAAAGTCATATCCCTAGCAAGCTCATTACTCTATAGATAACTTGAGATATGACAACCAAATGAATAAGTATTTCTGTACATTGGGGGGTGGGGGTACATTGGGGTACATGGGGGGAGGGGTACATTGGGGGAGGGATACATTGGGGGGAGGGATACAGTGGGCGTTTCAGCTGAAGCTTGATTCAAAAAGCTCCTTAGCTCAGTCTTGATAGGTGCATGCAATGCTATCAGCCATTATAACATACATAAAAACATTGAATTAATATGGGTATAGGTTAAAATATCTATACTCGAAACTTTACCAGCTTCAACTCTTCAATGATATCACGAATGGACACTTTGCAATGAGATATATCACCAACATGGATAATGTGAACAATTTTTTGCGGTACAGAATTTGAAAATGGCTTTGAAAAAAGCAAACATTATACAATATACTAAAAGCTTTTTCGTCTGACACTCCTCAGAGCATAAAACAAGATAGGCGTGTCAGACGTTTTATGCTCTGAGGAGTGTCAGACGAAAAAGCTTTTAGTATATTGTATAATGTTTGCTTTTTTCAAAGCCATTTTCAATATAGATAACTTGTATAATGAAGACAAAACTACCCTTAGGTAATGCAGTCCTGCTAAACAACTACCTAATGGGGAGAGGTGGGATCCGTAAACTATCTACGAATATTCTATATAATATGATATTTTCTCTATTAAAAACAACATAGATGCAACAGGGTTGCGGCTTGCATAAGAAAAATTAGCGATTTACACCGAGGATACAACAAGTATTTCTATGACTAGAAATTAAATATTAACGGGAGGCAAAAATGGGAAAGCAACAACGGGGAAAGCGTCATAAATAGCTGCATGTAAGGGTATTTGCCTCGTTACCAGTTACTGTTTAGAGATAACGCTAACGTTCTTGGAATTTCTACTGTTGTGCAGAGGCTGCACTAAAACACGTGCTATTTCAAGCAGATGATAACGTTCGCTAACTGCAACCAATGACTGATGAAGCTTTTGTCTTAAAAAGGTTTGGAACCCTTTTGAGTTGCTTGTGCACCGAAAAAAAACTCTCTAGTAAGTAAAAATATGAATACAAAAATACTAAAAATATGAATACAAACGGTTATCAAGATGAATACAAAATAAATTAAGACGAGGACAGGGAAATGAACGTTGCTGTAGAAAGAAAGGTTAAGTGCCTGTTACCTCACGATCATACACTCAACCCAAAGATGATTGGAAATAAAGTAAATCAAACAACGCACTGCCTCGTAGTTGTAATGAAAATGGCAAGAAATATTGAAAAGGAATATCACCAGAATAAAGGCAGCCCTGTCGATGACAATATTTGTTGCAGCAACCTGATAAAGTAAGGTGGTGATACAAATATGGCCAGTCTATCTCCTTGTGACGATTTCAATTTACTGACAAATTTTGATACTTTAAGAACATCAATCTTCGACACTTTCTGCTCCAACTTGAAATCGAAAGACATTGCTTGTCTGGTCACACTGTGTACTTGAAAGATGTGGTGAACCCCATGCATGTAGAGTGATTTTTGTAAACTTAACCGTGTGGGAAATGTTTTTTTCAGGTGAATGCCAAGCTTGTGACTACTACGAAGACGCATTTTCAAGCCTCCCTTTCATATGTTACAGCCTTTCGTTGGTACAATACTTTATGTATTTGCTTTCTTGTTTACCTTCGCTAAATGACTCATTTGGGGCTTGCCTCTGATTGGTAAACGTAGCAGGATGGATCCCTAGGGCTAAATGTGGCTGATTGGAAGGGAATTCACTGATTCGAATCTCCTTAGAGGAATCACAGCAGTTTCTCGTTTAATACACGTGTTGTTCGTAGGCAAATTTCGGAAAGTCGAAGTCAGATGGTCTGGTAAGTGCAGTCCCGTCCCATGGACTGAAGCAGCACTGCTTAAACCAACAATCAGTTGAAAACCTCGCATAACAGTGTTGATTGACTGCAAAAATCCTGCGAATCACAGTTCGATAAAACCTGGAAAAGGCTTTAACTGTGAAAACAGTGAAACCCTGAAAATGTTCAGTTCTTTATACTGCTTGTAAGCTGATCTGTTAAATGCATTGAATAGGGTAATCAAAGACTTATGACTGCGATAAAAGTTCTCATTTGTGTAATTTAAAAGTTCAATAAAACATTGTACGCTGAGCTGCTTGTAAGTCCTAAAACGGAAACAGAAATGAAGTAACAAATACACTCACGAAATCATCACAGGACAAACAAACAAACTGTCCTGTCACCAAGCTACCTACCTACACTCACGGGCGTAGCTACTGGGGGTCTGACCAGGCCCACCGAAAGGGGTGCAAGGGGCGATTGCCCCAGGGCCCGCAAGCCCGTAAGTATCTCTTCTCAATACATTTATTACACTTATAAATCAAAAGTAGATAAAGAAACTTCTTTGTCATCATGATCCATTATAAAAACATTTTCAGTTTACTGCGTTGGTAAGGAAGGGGTCCAAGCATGAATCCTTTCCTGGGACCGACGTGGTTCCCGGAAGGCTCCATGCTTGGAACAACTCCCTTCGAAAGAACAAACTTGGACCCGGACGTGGTTCCCGGAAGGCTCCATGCTTGGAACAACTCCCTTCGAAAGAACAAACTTGGACCCGGACACCCCCCCCCTGAGCACAACAGCTAGCGTCAACCCTGTTTACACTTAAGAAGAATCTTGATCCAGTGCAGACCATTAGTACTGACAGCAGACGGTATACAATAGAGCACTTACAGCTCACGAGGAGGAAGGGGACGCATTAAACACTAATAACCGAATAAAGAACTGAATACGTGTAGCAACCAGGGATACTTGGGCCCCTTGAAAAAGCAAACAAAATGCCTCTGGAGCACAACTCGACAACGCTACAAACAAGTGAAACTTTTTGGCTAGACTACCGAATCAATTTGAGACATACCTATCTTTGTATAAACAATAGACCTGGCAAGTACCTGATTCGAGCTTAAAAACAAATCAATACATTCTAGTTAGGAGGAGGCATCGAACACAAGACTGAAGAGAAAGCTATTCAAGCAAATATATTCGACCACCTGCTACTTATATCTAGCACCTTATTGGGCTATCAATTTATACGAATTAGAACGAACAGGGTTTCATGTCTCCTCTTTTTTAGTCGATAATGTTATAGAAATGCCCGGGAGCCCTAACAAGCGAAGCCCTATCAAGGTTATAGAGCGTTCAAGAAATAAAAGGTGATCAGCGGGAAGCGAGTAAAATGACATGAAGGGTGATCACTGAAAGACGACATCTGGTACTACGTTCATGCCACAAATTTATCTAAGGTCAAAAGTGCTATTATATTCTCAAATTTGATTTTTGTGATTGAAAATAGTTTTATCTTGAGTTTTGAACATGTAGGGGATATAGGTTTATACTATTTAAATATGATATTTTTTTCGTATATGCAGTTGTCAAGTTTTCCGTGTCGAATGCACCAGTCCTGATTGACAAGGTATGGCCAGAAATGACTTTCGCTCAACAATACTATCAAACTAAAAACCCTTGTGTCTGCCTTGCTGCAAAGAATTCTGATTTCTGCTTTGACGTAATACTCGCTAACCACAAGGACATTTGAAAGGCAAGACAATCAACTGCCCTAGTGTAACTCTGTAACTGACACAAATATTTGCTTGCTTATTCGTCTACCTAACTGACCAAATTTATAGCTGACATCTTTACCTTGAAGAGCTGCTTTTTTTCTCTTCTTTGCGTCGTTTATGTATCCTTGCCAAGTCCACATTGACATCTGGAGGGAACAGACGGCAAAGGGCTTCTCCGACACTTGGTTCGACTTCCTGCAAAAAGGCAAACCCAAGGAATAACAACAAGAACTGAAAACAGAAATTCACGGACCGCGGAAGCGGGGGTTCTACGGGGGCTTAAGTCCCCCTCCTAATAATTTCCAAAAATGTACTTAAAGCAACGGAAAAAATTGCCCTGCTCTGGGTGTTTAGCTTATTTAGCTCCTCTAAAAAAAACGTTTTAGCCCACTCAAACTGTAACATGCTCCGTGGTCCATGGTGTGCACCATGTGGTTCATCGTTATGATAAGAAAGGAAGATGGCAAATTCAATAACCAAACAGAACGAATCTTAGCCTATCATGCATGAGCATATAAAAAACGAAAAATGGGGTTGCTTGCCGGAAAAGTGTTCCAAAATAGTTTCGCAGAATGACGTTTTCCTCGATTTTCTGTCAACTTCGACGGTTTATTTAACTCCAAAGGATGCACGCGATCACAGAATTAACCTTGTAGCTTTCAAATTCTTTATAATATCAGTGATATAGATATTCGAAAGGCGACAATAATTCTAAAGGCGGATTCTAAAGATTATGGTGCATGAATAGGAAATTCAGTTACCTGGCCATCTCTGCATATCTTGATTTCCTTATTCTCGTTCCAAGGATTTCGCAAATGGGTGCAGTTAGCGAAGAGGCACTCATGCCTAGAAAACAACATTAGATAGCGAAATATGCCAAATCTTTCAAGATCAAGGAACAACCCTTGGAGTAGCATTACCGTTGTCAAAGAGCCTTGCAAAAACTTTTCCCAACTATCCACATCCTCAACAACGAACTGTATTTTGCCTATTATTACTCCATCTCGAATGCAAACTATCTGTACATTTGAAGGCAGTAGGTTCCGACTGTCAACCGTTCTGGGTTCACAATAGGCTATAAGTACGTTATTATTGAGAGGATGTTGAGAATTAGTCCTACGCTGCCAATTGGTAAAAGTACAATAGTCTATTGTGTTATCCAACCAATGAGAATTTAAAAACCATTGAAATGGGGACATAGTGTCTTTAAACGGTGAACCTCAATGTGAACTTACTCATACAGTAAGAAATTTCCCTCTTACCTATTTAGCCAATCGACTTTGAATACTCCAGTGAGGATTCTACGGTCAAAACCAGGAGGCAAAACCCAAGGCACATGAGGGCCGTCTCTTCGCGAGTCAGAGGCTAATCTACAAAATCCCTGAAATCTGCCGCTTTCTTTCACTGAGAATATCAAAATTACGTTTGTCGCATGCTAGGAAAGAAACGAAAATGTATTTGCAGTGATATGAAGAGGGAATGCTGATTTCAGCTAGGAAGCTGTTGTGATTGGGTCTACAAAGATAACATTAAACAGAAAAATCTTCATGTTTTCGGTCACTGGCTTTTTGGGCCAAGGATTTTAAGAGATCCCGTGTGTTGTAAGACAAATTATACTTAGGTAACTCGGGACATTTATAAACCATAATTTAAAAAAAACACATACACGATCAGAAAAATGTTCGTTATAGCATTGATTTGTGTTTTGATATTTTTCAAAAGAATAATCAGTCTTCTATTGCTGTTAGTAGAGTTTGCATAAAACCATTTTTGTGTGTTTTTCTTTAATGAAACAAATTTCTGTCAATAAATATTCTGCTGACTCCTTTTCGAGAGAAATTTGAAGTGCCAGTTTGAATATGTATGAGACAGGGAACATAGTCAAAAGAGAGATTTGAAGTCAATGGAGTATGAGTTTGGGTTTACAGTCAAGAACCAGACAAACAAACAAACAAACACACAATAAAAAAGCATAAATGACCCACACAAACGAACTTACTCGATATGCATCATTCAGCTTTCGTTCGTTAGCCGGCGGAGTTGACCACACTCCCTAAAACACAACACAAAAGCGCGATGACCAAAGGACCAGGTTACAGTTCAATTTGATAGTGAACAAAATAGTAAATTTATTAGAATTGGAAAAGTACGTGAGACATCTTGACCTTATAAGGTGGAAATTCTAAAGGAAAGTTCCTTTTGCACCTCATAAAATGATAAAGATATTTTAAGTAGAAAGGAACTATGAATAAAGTAAATTTTGATGGTAAATAGTCGGGAACAAAGATAGCTTAAAGGCAATCTGTCACGACGTTGATTGGTTATAAGAACAAAGGGATTTTTATTGTTTCCAGTCCCCCTTTAATTTATCGCATTGTAAAAAATATGGCGGAGCGCTGGAATCGTGTTTAGGCTATTGTTCCAGCTATTGTTCTCGTTAACCAATCCACAACGAGACAGATTGCCTTTAATTTCACGTACGATATCCAAGGCATTGATATGACGGAACAGATCACAGTAATTTGTTCGATCAAACAGAGCAATTCAATTCAATTCTAATCAATTCAATTCAATTTGTTGACATAAAAGCTTTTAATTACAAGATATATGTTAGTAAGCTAATTAAAATAAATCAAACAAGCTTGGGACAAACGGGAAAAAGCTGCACTATCAGGCCATGTGACCCTTGCTTAATTAAGTGTTATTAATCATTTTAATAAAAAGGTTATTTAAAGAAGTAGAAAAGTTAGCTGCTATAAAATTTTACCTTGGCCTTTGAAAGCGAGACGTTTTCATGGTTATTACTTTTGATGATGAAATATCTTGATCCTTTCAGAAAGTCTTCCAAGGCTTTTTGGTTGCTTTCTGATAAAGTTCGCGAGATCTTGCTTTTGACGCCTCCAACTTCATCTAAACAAAAAATACCCACATGACAATCTAGATAATCAATATATTCTAGAAACCTAAACCGAACAGAAAGGCTTTGTAGAATTCAAATCTTTTTTCTCCATTAATAGAAAAATTTTAGGATTTGATACGTAAATAATAACCTTGCCAATATTTATTGTATAGGATTAACCAGAGTTTATACAGAGTGAAGAAAGAGTTGCGTGTAACAGGCCATTTCAAGCCGGTATAGTTTTTCAATGTGCACACTCATAAGCCACGTATAATACCAAAGATATTTCTCCCATAATTCGAAGTGCTTTGGTAAAATGAAGTAGAAAGAAACAGAAATAAAAACAAAAATGACCAATTTTCAATAAACAGGTCTATAATCAGGGCCGCCGGAAGGGTGGTCCTGGGGCATAACACGAAAACGAGACACCCTGCGAGCGAGGTGAGCAGAAAATTTTTTGCGACCACACCCCCTACACATTAGCTTAAATTCATTCATTGGATTAAAACGTCAAGCTGTTTTCAGTCATAAATCATACTTTTAATAAATTTCATTTCAAAACGGAATTCATTACTTTACAAAGCCCTCTAGACTTCGAGGCTCTGGCGTAATTTGCCCCTTACCCCCCCCCCCTCTCGGCGAGTTTTTATACAGCGTGTATAACAATGGATAGGTATTGTTGACTTGATCAATAAACCCGCAGCTGATTAAAGACTGCATTGTGACTTGGACCTTTTAGTATCATCAGTAACATTTCAGATCAAGAAGACAGGAACTTCTGACTTTTACAATAATCAACGCAGTATGCTGCCATGGCAATTTCGTCGCCTTTAGAAACACAATTTTGGAAAGGGTTTAAAAAAGGGTTTAAAAAGCTGCAGAAGGGATGCATACCTTCCTGGTCACTCGATTGCTTTCGCTTTCTTCTCTTTTCTTTTTGCGCTTTTTCAAGTCTTTCAAACGAGTCTACGTCAAATCAAAGAAAATTGATTTTAGGCTGGCAGAAGAAAATTCCCAAAACATTTTCACAGAAAAAACCCCGAAATACATTTATTGTGCTATAGCTCATTACATGTAATTTAAGACTTTAAGCGAAAATAATGAAAATTTTCCACCTTGATAATCCGTTAAGGGTTCTACAAACAAATATCCGTCTGCACAAAATAAAATAAAAAAGTCCGCAATAATAAATTTCGTAACATATTGATGATGGACCGGATAAATACAACAAAAAGAAATGGCCTACCAGATGACCCTGCCGAACCAGATCTGCTTCTTGAGCCAAGGTATAGAGGGGACCTCGATCTGGAAAATGATCCCGAAAATGAGCTCATGTCTTCGAAGTCTGAGCCCGAATGTCGAGATATGACGTCATCGTCACCATGATGGACGCTTCCATCACTAGCCCCGACGTCATCGATCACTTGCATGTCATCCTTGTTGTCCTGTAAATTGTACTCTTTCTCTTCTCCCTTTCCATCTAGAAAAATACACCTGTCATTAGACATTTTATCACACTAATGGATGCATTTACCCTTGCAAAACAATTCATTTTTACGTAGAAATCAAATGAAGGCTGTGATTTTTGTTCTTTCTTAAGTGTACACAGAGCAGCTATATGAAGAGCTACTTCAGAGAAAAACATCGGCTAAACAAATCTGAGCAAGTCGGCGACATAAAACTATTATTTCAATAAAATGCGTAAAATCCGAACAAAATAGATCGATTTGTTGCAATAATCAATCCGCTGCTTATTAATTTCTTAATAGTGACGTCACCAAAACACATTAACGTCATCCTATGATATGTTGCAGTAGCAGTAACTTCGCATTAAATACCTTCTTTTGATTTCTCTTTAACTTGACTTTTATCCTTCTTTTCATCTTTCTTTGTTGATTTTTCGGCCCTTGGTTTCTCTTTTTTCTCTATGCTCTGAAAAGGGACAAAATAAATGAGCCATTTTCATCTACAAGGGCACAACCCAAAAAGTAATATCACAAGACTAAACAGTAAAAAAAAACTAATTCATTCTTAAAGGATATTGCTCTAATAACAAAATTATTCGTGGATGAATATTAAGGTGCATGTCAAATTTTGTATACATGGGAACACAGGTCAAGCGTAGGGACAGCAAACCATCAAGGAACAAAAGTTTTAAATACAAAAGAGAGCACAACAAAGAAACGAAATCTAGTTTTCATCGCAATAATCCGCGAAGCAAAATGATCGAAATTATTTTGTCTTCCCCAACTAACCTTTCCGTCGACTTTCTCCTTATGTTTGGAATCCTTCGATTTGGTGTCCTTTTCTTTTGGCCTTTTGCTGCTTGGCTCTCCTTCTTGCTTTGGTACTTTCTCTTTAATCTCCTTCCTCTTTCTGCTAGAAGCATCGTGTTCGCTTGATTCTTTCGTCTTCTCATTTTTGTCACTTTTAACTTCCTTTGGAACTTTCTTCACTGCTGGGGCGACTTTCGTCGTAGAGGAGCTCGACGGGCCTTCAGACTTTTGAGGTTTCTCATCCTTCGGTTTTTCGACGGGCTTTTCGGCTGGTTTTTCAGCAGGTTTTTCAGCTTCCTTTTTCAAATCCTTCTTCACCTCTGATTCAACTTTTTCGATTTTCTTCGCATCAGCTTTCGCTTCCTTTCCGTCCTTCTGTACACCGGAACTTGGCTTTTTTACAACCTTTTTGGTTGTTGAGCTGGGTTTCTTTTCTTCGATAGCTTTTGGTGCATTTTTGTCCTCCTTCTTGCTGTTCTCCTGTTTCTTTTTCACGACTGTCGTTTTAGAGCTCTTAACAGCAGTTTTCGATTCTGAACTAACTGGCGCAGCATCTCCAGCCTTTTCATCTTTGGGGTCACTTGCAGCAGAAACCTCTGATTTTGTGACCTCACTAACTTCTTTTGCGTTAGCACTGGTGGCAGCGTTACTCTGGTCAGCAACTTTGGTTTCGTTTGCCTTGACAGCAGGAGATGCTGTTTCCTTCTGCTCGGTGGGTTTTGCTGCCACAGTTTTCTTAGGTTGCTTCGTGGGGGTTTTCTTCTTTCCAGAAACCGGCTTTTTGCCTTTCCTTCTGGTTGTTCTAGGTGTTGGTTTTGCCTTAGGTTCCTCTACAGGAGCAGCTGTGGAAGTAATTAACCTAAATGATCATTGCAGCACATTACTTTGCAGTAAGAAGTTTTTTGCAGTAAAACGTTTTGCACCCAGCAGTATACAAGCTAAGCATATAAACCTAAGTTATTCCATCCCGCAAGTTGGTCAGTTGGGCATCTTCTTTCAACTGACTAGATTAGACTGTCATAGCAATAGAATTTTCGTCAATACTCTCACTTTCAAAAGAGGTAAGTTTCAACAACTATCATAGATATTTACTCAAACAAAACAGTTTCTTTAATCTCAAAACATGATGAAAACAAAAGCAAACATACCCAAACATTGAACATGGTAATGCAATCGTTTAAATATCATAGATAAAAACAATGCTATTAAGCGAAATAAAGCAATACCACATTAAAGTCAACAATATTTGTAGAATACCTTCCGGCTCTTTAACTTCCGTGTTTTCAAGCTCTTCTTGGAATTCGTCATGCCCAATAGAATCGCCAAGGATGTCGTTGAGAACATTGACTTCGGCAGCACCTGTGTATTGAGTACTGTGCATTAGAATCGAATCGGTTTGAATAAATGAATTGCCATATCATTAAATGAAGCTGCCTAACATAGCCTGAATACATTGATTTAAATATGGCTAGTGTACATCTTACGCGTACGTTTTTGAATGAATGTAGCAATCAAACGAACATGAAGGGAAACTGTCAGGCCTAAAAGCAAATCTCCGAGCAAAAGAATGTCCGTATACTATTTAACCTTCATTCTGAAGTTTGGGTAATACAGCGAGACCTCAGTTAACGGATATCTAATTAGTAATTGGTAAGTTTATTGGTAAAAAAGTCATCGTGATTTTTGCAGTGTAGTTATTGGAAGTTGAAAAAAAACTTATATTGCATAGTTGCTAATCAGATTTACGGCTGAGATTCTTTATCAGCTTTCGGTCATTACTGATGAAAGGACAATTTTAAAACTCCTAAAATCGAAACAGAAAGTGTCTTTAGCATAGTGTTTTCGATGCCGGCTTTGAAGCGTATTTGACTCTGTTTGAAGAAACTGGGTGGGAAGCGCTTTTTTACTAGATTTGAGTGTTCATGGAATGATTCTTATTTTTGCAGTAAACGATTGTGAGCTGTGATGTAGCTATTTACTGTCAAAACTTCATTGAAACTACTCAAAAAGGGAAACCTCCAAATTAACGGACAAATAAGTTTTCCCAAAGTAAGTTTCTTTTTACCAAAGTCCTGTATAAAAAACCAGTAGAGAACAGACATCTTCCGATTACGGACACTAATTTTGGTCCAACGGGGTAAATTTACAGTATGTCTTTCAAGAAAGCTTTCTTACTGTCAGTGATTGGCATTCCCTTCACAGAAAGAAAATTCTTTCAGTAAATAGATCTTTATATGTTAAATATTTAGATTTTCTAAACACTTTTGTTTAAAATATCTAAATAAATCTTTCCTCAGCTATTCTAATCTGAAAGTTTTATCAGAAAATTTAGAATAGCTTTACACATGCAGACTGACAATTAGCTTGTCAAGCAAAACTCTGAAAAACATTTTAAATATAGATGTGAGATGATACACTTTAAGGTCAGGTGATAAAAGTGTTTATTCAAATATTCAGCATTAGTCGCTAAAAGTCGCCAGGAAAACATCACTGACGAATCACGTTTCAGTAACGACCTGGCAGACAATAATAGACTTATTTATCAGTCAATCTATTTGAGTTTAGACACGACCATCTTTCACAGTAACTAAAATTTCTCTAACTAATCCGGGCCACCCGTTCTGTTAGCATCAATTTGTTGCATTAATAGCCCCATTTCGGTGCCAATGGGTGCCAAGTAATATTACGGGTGGCTTTTTCAACTGTTTATAAGAGTATCCAAAACAAAACAGATGTCTGACTCGATGTCATGTGGTGCCATCTGACTATCCTTGAAAAACTCTCTATAGTTTTTTATGAAGCGTTGAATCAACATTTTATAAAACCTCTACTACAACATATTCTCCGTTGTAGTAAAGGTTTCGTTATTTCTAGGAATCCGTTACCGGAGACGGGTTTTTCACTACAGTATTCTCAATAAAATGGTTAACGCACTGAGAAAACTATTGGTAACAATTGAACGTAATTTTAATGATTTGATCTTTGCACGACCCTTAAACCGACCCGATCGCGATGGGCTTTTCATTAGCAAATTGGTTGGTTAAGTTCACCACAAAAAGACTTATTCATATTGAAAAATAACTTGAAAACCCATGACAGATCAGTCTGTTGGGGGTAATAGAAAAATCTCGCTAAAATGTGATGAATCTGAAAGGCACTGTATGTTGTTTTATAGCATTATATTGGTTGCTTTTAAAAATGGGATTTTATAATCACGTGACCCTACTCCTTCCAAAGCATCGTTTTGCCACTGCCTGTTATCTAAAAAGGACCTGGTAATAACTTTCCAAATTTAAAAGACGAGAAAGGCTCTGAAGAACAGCAAAAGAGAAAGTGGAAACTGAAAAGAAAGGGACAGTTACTGAAGCTAACTGAAAGGGTGGAGCAAGTATCATTCTTCAACAAGATTCAATCAAGTCACCTGCAGTACAGCCGTCGTGCATTGGTTAATGGTCATAAGAATATACACATTTCGACGTTTCTTGGAGAATTGGAATAATAAGGGACAGGGGCTTTGAAAACAGTGGCGGACACTTGGGGGGGGCGAGGGGGGCGACCGCCCCCCCCCAATACTTTAGAGAGCAATGGTCTTTTGTTCCAAAACAATGGGAAATGTGACGTCATCTTATTTAAACAAAAGGCTTGCCCCCCCCCCAATATCTGACCAAGTGTCCGCCCCTGTTTGAAAATCCGAGACTCGCTTCATAACAAAGACAAATGCAATTTATCATTCATTGACATGAAATTAAGAGTGAAGCAAGTTGTGTATTTAAGATTCAATAAGTTTGTTTTAAAAACTAACATGCCGTTCCATGACTATGTCACAACTATTCCATATCTGCTTCAAAATGCCCACCATTTTTATTAACTCACTTCTCTTTTTGCCCAGTCGTAGCGATTGATTTGCGCTAGTAAAACGCTAAGCCTGGCCCTGCATTTCAAAATGCACATTATCGCATAATAAAGCGAGACATTCGATTTGTATCTTATTGCTAGATTCATTACCCCGAATTGTCAAGGTCTGCCGATTCGTTTCAGGTCATTAACAACCCAACCATTACACTACCGGAAAAGACTAACTGAAAGACACTTTGTAGCAATAATTTTTACCCTAACACATCAGTGTAAAAATAATAGCTCATTAAAGGGAGATAAAAAGTACAGAGCAAATAAGAGAGCCCACAAGACGTCATCTCCTCTACCATCATATCATTTCTAAAAGCTACGAATTAGGACGTTTGTCGCTCGTGTGTCATATTTGCTTTCTAACTTGCCTCATTCATTCAATGAACAGACACACCGAAACAGAAAGATATAAGAATCGAGTTGTGACAGACACGCCGGAGAAAGAAAAGCGTGACAAGAGACAAGCTGAGAACTGAAAAAATAATAATGATTTTCTTTGTCAGAAGGACAATCAAGATACACCAGTCCCATAACAGGAAGGTGCCATGGTACATACAGTGCTTTCAATTATAATTCAGTGCCGTCGGAACGAAATTCATATTGGGGAGGGGGGGGCGCCATTGTATTCCTTCTCATACAGTACACTGTTATAAAGGAAACATACTACCGTTTGACCATTATGGGGGGGGGGGCTGTAATTCAAGATTGTTGAAAAAACTTGTTAAGTGCCGTTCGTAGCCAAAGCCCGATGACATCATGTCTATTTCTACTACGAGCGGCGCTGAATATTGTATTTTGCTGTTGCTTGTAGTAATTTCTAACTGGAATATAACGAAATAATTAAAGATTAATTGTCATGCTTTCTACCCTATCCTGTCCAGAGGCAATATGTTTGAACTAAAAGTGGGCAAAACAGAGAAGGATGTTAAACTTGCTGGGGGCAAGAAAGGCATTAGTTCTTTATGATGACATAAACTATTTTCGAACGAAAACAGCTTCCTTTCAATGCAACAAAACTATGGATTCAGAAAAAGGTAATTCAGAAAAAATGAAAGATATACAGGAACAAAGCAAAACGACGACGAGAATCCAATGTCACGAAATAAATTTTCAAAATAAATTTAATTTAATTTATTTTGAAAATTTATTTTGTGACATTGGATTCTCGTCGTCGTATTGCTTTGTTCCTGTATATCTTTCATTTTAAAATCTCATTGCAAGATTCACAGAATCCGGCGGACAGCCTATCCTGCGGTTCTTTCTTCTCACACTTCATAATTCAGAAAAAAACCTGTATAATGTTAAGGCAGTTATTTGAGCAATAAAATCTTCAATATGTTCTGTGTATGGATATGAGAAAAAATGTTTCAGAAAATTAAAAGATGCTTTGTGTTCTCTTTGTGTTCTGTGTTTTACATGGTGGGCAGGTGTAAAACCCATTTTTGACAACACAAAAAGTTTGTAACTATTTTGACGTGCTGTATACTTGTCTTCAGGTGCTAAAAGAATTCTGCAAGGAAATTTCTATTTGCTCGTGCAAAACTTAGGTCACACTGCATTCATAGCTCTTGACTATTCTGTTGTCTGCTTCAAACTTCCTCAGTGCTCAATGCGATTCACATGAATTCATAGAGTTATGAATGCCTAGAGGCTTCAATAGGACCAGTCAATAAACCATAATGAAGCTCGCAAAGGACAAACACGCATTCATTTGTTATCATTGCTTCTAGATATAGACGCCTGGAGCCTTATCTGTATATGGTTGGTGAGCCTTAAGCTGTACCCACTTATCAAGCTCAAACCAGAGCCATAAAATAAATTGGAAATTGAAAAGAGTACATTGTGCAGCAACAGTTTAAATAGTTATTGTCAAAATATATGGTGGAAAGATGGGTGGTCATTAAACTGTGCCCAACCTTTACATAACTGTGGCATGTGAAGAAACATTCGACTAGTGCCCCATTTCACCTAGACCTCAGCTAACATAACAATAACTGTGTGTCATGTTGGTAAATATTTATAGACTTATAGCTTTGGAAACCGCAACTGAAAGACATTATCATACACTTAATGCATTAGCAAAGAAAATAATTTCTAGCAAATAATTCTAATGTTTTGAAATGCGGGGAGAGGGGAATTAGATTTTAGGAAGAATCTAGTGACTTGATCATTTATTCGGTTATATGCAAATACAATATTATTGTCTTTATAAAATTTATTTGCGACAGTTTCAAAGACAATAAGTTTGTAAACAGATTTTGATGAGAAATCAAATGCATTATTTTCTTGGAGAGAACACTTTATAAAAAAAATATCATGCTGGAATGTTCAATGATTAAAAGAGGGATGATGATTGATTGCCCTGTTGTCTTTAATAGGAAAAGGTTACGAGCTTTGTCTTGATGGGAATAGGAAGGGTGATAGTAAGGTGGGGGGGGGGGGTACAAATTGAAATGAATTATGGAATAGGCAGGAAGTATGGAAAAATTTGAAAAATGCAAGAATAGACATGAAAAGAAAACAAAGTTGAAGTGATTTGAAAGGTAAAAAGGAAGAAGTAAATAGGTTAATAGGAACAAGGTAGGGGGCGGCAAATCAGAGGAAAGAAGAGACAGAAGTGAGTTGCAGAGAAAGTTGCATTACAAGACGTTTGTACCACGAAATATGTGAGCAGATTTACCATATGAAAGGATTTCAATGGGTCATAATGTGCAGGCATTGAATGGTGAATAGGCCTTCATCTAAATATAGCCATGGAACACCATGGTTTGGTGGGCTCTTGTCAGCAATTGTTAAGAACTGATAGTTGATGGAACCTGTTTTAAAATCAGTATGTGGTTACTTAATGTGATCAGCCCTAGATACACCGATACAAAATCATTTCTCGACATCTTTTGGTTGACCAGTAAAGGTGTATAATCAGGGCAATTTTACCACAGTAAAACATAATGAAAATACTAACTGTTATTGTAAGAGTTTCTATTTAAAAAAATTAAAAGCACCATCAAATTTTTGTATTATCTTAACACTAGAATGGCTTTTACTTTGCATCATTCAGTTAATTTGTCGTGTTTTTTTTTCAATTTAAAACAAGAAAACATAAGTAAAAAAATATTGTTTTTTATATCTAAATTATAGTGGGATTATGGTATATGAAAGGTGTGTGTATTTATAGTTAGGAAAATATGTTGTCTATTCATGAATTAACATTTTCTATTCATTTGGCAATAGCAAGGGTGTAAATAAAGTTGAAATAAAGTATACATCAAGCAGGTTCAGCCCATTACTGAGGCAAGTTACTAAGGCTTATTTCTACATCAATTGCCATTCGCATGCAATCTTTTTTTCAAATTTGCAGGTGATATTTGCAAGTCGCATGCAAACATTCACAATATGATTTTAACCTGTTTCCAATGTTATATTTTTCCCCAATGTTACCATGCAAACAAAGTCGTGGATAAAAATTAGCCAATTAGAACCCAGCATATTCAAACAAAAAAACAAAGAGCTGTCATAGGCTTTATATTTAATCACAGCGACAAGCAAAAATGACTATGAATGTTGAATCAACTCCTGAAGTGATGAAAGCTTTTTGAGAATGTTTGTTTGAACAATATACAGGAGTCAGCATGGAAACAAATCACCCCAAGCTGGTTCTTCTGATTATGTTTGCAGATTTTCCTTATTGTCCTTTTTATTAAGAGGTCACACCAGTTTTTTTTCTATACTCCATCTATCTTCTATACTTTCTCCTCTGTATTAACAACTGAATTTCATTGGCTGACTTAACAATAGGAGTTCTTGAGAAAAGGTTTTGACTGTGTATGGAATTCCCATGTGTTGGCAATTCACAAATAGCATACAAATAGCGAATTTCGAATGAAGTGGAAATAGGTCTTTAGTGTCCATGACAGCCAGCATTTTCAAACAAACAGCTCAATCTTAAGAAAAAACTCTTATCCATTGGGGAGGCAATCAAAAAAACAAAACATGGTTGGCATCTTTAACATTGATACATGACCGATGTTTCATGTCTCCACTCACAAAACCAATGATTCCCGCGCTTATGAACAACATTGCATCTAACTACTGAACAATAACCCTTACTCAATGCCATCAAATTCAAGAGTGGACCTGAAGCGCTACTGCAAGAAGGGGAATAAAAACCAGTGGATTGTAGTCTCTGAACAAGTTTGCTGTCATGCCTATAGAACAGTACAAAAAATTGAAGGCTTGATTGTTTGATGGTGCTGGTTAATTGATGTCCTTGAAGTTTTTGGTAGCTGTTACTGGAAGTGGATGTTTATAACAGGCAATGAAAGAGAGGTTGACGTTGGTGAACTTTAGGCTCTTATATTTGAGACTTATTTGAGTGGAACCTGTAGACCCAATCTGGTTCAAACAATCTTGTTGACAAAAAATTGCCTTTAAAAGCTAGGCTACTGCAACAACATAAAACTGAAGAAGAGCTGCTAACTTGTATGTGCGTGTTCATGTAAAGTTATTTTAGAGAGATATGCCACAAAATGTGGTTAAATTTTGAATGTTTATACTATATATATTTTAGGTTTTTAACATTTGGCACTATTTTACCAGAATATTTTTTTGAAAACTTACTGTTTGACACTTTTGTTTGGCTCCTGACTATATAAAATCAAAAACTGAGCCCTGTATTTTGCCAGCTTATTTACCAGTAGTTTAGACTTGGCTGCATAGTTAAATATATACAGCATTCATCATCGTGCATACAATACTTGTCTTGAATAAACTGTGTTATCACTGTTTAAATTCATTGCAAGAATTTAAGATGTGCCCTGGGATTTTCACAGGTTTTGCAATGCAATATTAACACCTTGCTGATAATCAACCAAATGCTACTTGAAAAAACTTAAAATAAGGCTAACAATAAGAGCAAAAAACAAAAATTTCAATGGAATTTGCTCCACATTACCATACTTTGTGCCATGAAAATAGTTTGGCCATGTTTTTCAAGCGTATTTTAAGTATTGTGAAGATTTTAAGAATATTCATTAATTTATTTTTTAAATGGAAGTCATGGTGTTTTGTTTACTGTCTTAAATTACAAATTATATCTCTTTGTCTTTTGACAAACCCTACCTTACATAAAGTATAAAAATATATTTCTTATTAAATATAACTTTTGCTGAAAATAGCATTATAGAAATAAAAACACAGTTAAAATCAACATTTCAGCTACTGCTAGAACCTCTTAAAATTACTAACGTTAATATTTGACCATATAATGACATTTTGAAGTTCTTTGTCATTAGGAATTTCACCCTTCTTGGTTCTGAAAATAAACATTATGTGGCGGTGCATCAATGTGGATTTATTGTTCATTAGTTCATATTTGCTGTAAAATATAACGAATGACAGTTCACGGAACCAGTAAGACAACGAAACACCATCCGCGGCAGCTACCTAGAATTTAGGCCAGAAATAACATTGCTTGTAACACCGTCTGCTTTGTTGCTTGACGGTCAATACCACGTGTTTGGGAATGTATTCCCGTCAGTTCAAAACAAAATAAAGTGTCCTTCCCTGAATTCCAAATACAATCCACTTTAATCTGCTTGAATCTGCAATTATCTATCTTCCAAACATGACGAAGGAAGGATGCAGATTCCATGATGAGGCCACGCAGCTGGCACGAATGGCGAGCGCAAATTCAAACCCTCTTCATCGAACAGAATAACTCATTCTTACCGAAAACCCTTTTTCGTAGAAAAGGTAAATTGAATCTGAATCAGTCCAAAACTCAGGTTTAATCAACTCACTTTCGTTAAGTTCGTCTTGAGGTGTTTCTAACTCTCCTTCTTCTGGACCTTCAACCGCTGCCATGTTGACTGCAACCCTTCCTAACCTTCACCAGAAACCAGGTCACGAATTCCAACACGTAAATTGATTACCTTTGAAAAATATACAAAGTCAGCAATGATTCATAGCGTGTTTAATAACTCTAATTTGTAAAATCAACCAATAAACTATCCTTCAAAATCTCCACTTTTTCGAAGTAAGCACGAAACTTCAATCAAAGCAACAACGGAATGGTTATTGACCGGATGGCCGAAATGCATCTTGGGATACATTCTAACTCCCATAATGCAATTTCCATAACGGAACACTGCAATTGATCCAAAAGAGAAGTTGCTGAAGCAAGGACATATTTTGAAGCAAGGGCAGGTTCTTTGGTTTATTTGCTGAAGAATCCCAAAAATCAATTTCTATTCATACATGCTTAATAAACAAACCTACACAATTCTACTGCCTGCTTAAAGCAAGTACATCTGTTTCTGGACCATTCCCTAACCCTCTGTAAAATTTTCTATACAGTCACGTTTCGAAAAAGTATTGGGACACTTTGATAGAAGAAATACGGCATCGCATTTGAATAGGTTTCACAATGGAAAGTTGTCCAGATATGCGTAGTCGTTTTTCAGAAATTTGGATATAAGTATCCACAAAAATGCTTGGGTATCTATCTGTCTATAACAATATAAAACCTATTAAATCTAAAAAATCTATACAAAATCTAAAAAAATCTAAAAAACAAGTATTTCGCACAGATTTGGTTAGTAGCTAGTAAATTTATGGATAAAGGTAATAAATCGTTAACAAAGAAATTAGTTAAGTGTGAGTAAATGTATTTGCAAAAGGAGTTTGTGCTGAATCACTCTAACTTGAAAAAGTAGGCAGGGTTCATAATCTAGATATCAATGGTATGAAACAACTGTGGCAGAGCCTTGGATGGGACAACAATGGAGCAAAACCCATACTATAATTTTGAAAAACATTTCAACTTGAAACCATAAAAACTTAGGATTATTGCAAATTTACTACCTTTATCAGCAAATTATGAAAAACAGTTGAAAACTCTAAATTTTGGGTTAGATTTAGTGATCTCAACGATCATATATTTCAATACAACTTCGCTTGCTATAGCCCCATGTGTAGGTGCAACGGAGAAGTCGAACCCTTAAAATATTCATTTGTTTCTGCATTGCCAATCATATCCACGCAACAGGAAAACCCTGCTTGAAGAATTTTCTAACTTAGTGATCGTTTATGTGATTTGATATTTTATTGCTAAAATTTACAACTCACTTAGTTTAGATAATGCTGTCACCGCTTAGTGCCCTGAATAAATTGTTATGATCTATTCTCTGTGTGCGGTAATTTTTTTGGTAAGGAAACTCAATAACAAAGGTTCTTTGCTACTCATCCCAATACTTTGAATTTATTTTGTACATTAGAAGTTCTGTATGTTTTTTATTTAATCATTATATAGATAACTTCTTTAGGGCAAAGTTACAACAAAATAAAAAATTTCTATATTAAGCTAAACAATTGAGTTCCAAATAAGTTAACACATCCGAAAGAAAATACAACAATTTCAGTAGATTAAGATAGATAATGAAGCTGCTGAACTCTAATTGCAAAACACGAGGAGAATTCAAATGCTTCATTTTTTGTCATCGATAAGCATTTATAAAGATTTTTGCAACAAATGATGTTAATTTTTCTAAATGTAGGATTTTTACACGAAGAAATAATTATTTGTAATGTTTTCGTCTCTTGACATTGCAACCTTCGTCTCTCAGCTCTAGTCTACCTAGCATTGGTAGATGTTTCACAATTCTTATGTGAAAATCTGTTTGAGCAACAACAAGTTGCTAGATTTTTGTTACTCTTTGCAAAAAACTGAACTATTCTAAACTGAGCAATGTGGAAATCTTTAAGCACTTCTCGTAAGCTATTTCTTTATTTCTGAAAGCATAAATGTTTGCGTCTAAAGACCTAAAATTCACATTCAATTGTTTGAATTCTTTGGCGTACCTGAAACTTTTCAAAACATGAACAACATTTTCTTGAAAAAGTCGTCGAAGTAGTTGTCGTTTTTGATTAACAAGAAGTAATTTCAAAAGCGTATCAATGCCATTTTAGTATTTGCGTATATCGATTAAAGAAAAAAGAATAATACTAAGAAGACTTTGCAGGTATAAAATGTATAAAAGAATCTAACAGCAACCAAGAACTGCTGTCACCCATAGTTCTAGTCACACTGATGCGAAATAGATAAAATATCAATTATCTTTAAATCGCAATAATTCAACAGGTTCATGAAGTTTTCCTTAGAAATTTTAAACTAGTGATTATGTAGCATGTGCTTCCCCGGAACTGATTGTTAATGTATGTAATTTAATAATGTCATCGTCTCTGTCTGAATCTTTGTACTCTGTTGTTTGTACAGTATGTCTGTTGTTCTGTCTTGCTTGATGTGTTGATTAACAAACTGTGATGGTGTATAGAATGATTAGGTCTGAATTGTAAAGTTCAGTTGTTGGATTAAATATGACATGAACATATGAACTTGTATTTGTCTTCCTCGCTACAATTATACATAATTTTGTGCCAGCCAACAATGTTTTACAATGGAATAATGGACACCTACCATTTCTTTCTGCCTTTGATCGCACCGAAAAAGACAATACAGACCAATCAACACCCTTTCATCTTCAGCCAAAATCATTACAAATCTTATAATTAGAGGCAACCGACAGATATACTAACCGACAGTTGCTCAAGCCATCTTTTAATCAGCTATTGGCCAATCAACAAACGCGTGAGTAGTATATCATTTGTTGATTGGCTTATTTTACTTGACGTAATGGCTAGATATCAAAAACTTTGAAACCATATTGACAGACATTTGACTGTCTTCCCACCAACTTATTACAAAAAAACGTCATGCATATTAGGTTTATTGAAAACTCTTTAAAACTAAAGCAGAAATGCTGGGGTCAAGACAACTTAGCAGAAATATTTGTGTGAGTGGCAACAAAGAGTAAAAATCAACCGAAAAGTTCCTGTTTGGTTGTAAACAAAATAAGATGTAGCACAAGCCTTTTTCTTCTCTTCGTCTTCTCTTCAATGAACCATTAACGATACATTTTTTCAATCTAAAAGAATCTAAAATTTGTCGATGAAAACACTATTTGTACAGAAATCTCTGAAATTTTATTACATAACTAGGTAGATACATAGAGCTACTAAATCATTTATTCAAAAATAATTGAAGTTAGTCCAAAGTTAGGACAATTGAGCAAAATATGATTAAAGAGCAAACAATAACAATTCGGATTAATAATGTACAGGTAAAGGATCTGACTGCAATAGACTTATATGGTATTGCTATTGACAACGTAAATTCATTATTGTATATAGGTTTAATAAATGCACATAGGTTCAATGAAAGCTCTCAACGACTTCAGCAAAACCTTTTGGGTGAAAATCAACACAGAGAAAAAGCCAGCTCTAATTTTTGTGTGCTGCAAAATGGGTAGAAACAAAGCAGGGAGTTCCAAAAGTTTCTATCCTTGGCCCTCTCCTATTCCATGTATTCAATAATGATGCCTTTTTCAATAAAACAGAATACATACTTTTGAAACTGTGTAGATGACAACACTCTTTTAAAAAAGGGCCTGTATGAATATATTGTTACAAAAGTAGAAGAAGATCTAAATTTACTAAGTGTTTCGCTAAAAATTTTGTCATAACACTGTACAAGCGTAGGTTTATGAACATCGAGCAAAATACTGACAAAGAGAAAGCTGCAGCAAATGACATTAGTAATGTACCAGTAAAGGAAATTAATGTAGCTCATAGGTAATACAAAAATTTATAGGTCAAGATACAGGTAAAATAGATAACTTGTTAGAAAGAATGCCAACATTTTGAGTAGAGACAGAAAAAGGCTGGTGAAGTTACTTAATTTCTGATAATTCTTTTTGATGTAGTGTAGTCGTTAGTAACAACAGAATAAATCTTATTTGTGAAAGAACACTTAGAATAGCTTACCATATTTTCACACCCTCGTTTGGGAGCCTTCTGCAAATAGGAAGTGCACCAACACAAAAGTGCACCACAAAAACATTCAGCAATTTGCAATCAATATCTTCAAAACGTTTATAATGAGGATTTTGCTTTATTAGTGATATTTTCAGTGGTTATAACAAAATAGCCAAGTGCGTACATGTAAACCATCGATGTAATTTCCTAGAAGTACCGACAAAGCTAAGTGCATATGGCCTAAATACAAGTTGTAGTTTGAACAAGTGTAACCAGATTTGGAACAGCATTAAAAAAATATTAAAACCAGGAAAAAAACAAGCTCCTTCGAAAGCAATTCAAGAAATCACAAACTCTTATAGATGGTGGGCTCGCTACATTAACCACGTAGGTTGCATACTATAAATAATCCTCATCGCATATCAAAATATACTGATCATTTTTGTTCAATTTAGTCTCAGATTTTAAGCAAAAATATATACTTATTTACTTCATTATCGTTTAAATTATCAGCCAGAGAGCAATTGGTCATCAATATATTGCCAAAAGGGCAAAAAAGTTATAAAACAAACAAGCATAAAATTGTACTACATAATGCTCTTTTTTTTAATAGATTTTTATTTACCAAGGATATTACTGCTTCTATGATATTACGACGTTCCTTGTAGCACCAGCCAATACCAAGATAGTTCTATTTATCTAGCATTTTTTCTGGCATTAAATTTATAGTAATGTAGCAACAGCACTAAAGGCTACAACAAAATCTTGTCCACATTTTATCTTCTATCCAAGCATAAGCCTTTTTATCTTTGATCTACATGGCTTTCCCTAACGAACGACCTAAACATGATTTTGGTATAGCCTTTGGTGCTACTGTATCATTTTCTTGTTAAGGCCAATGGGTAGCCAAGCTTATCATGCTCTCATTGGCTTCGTCTTTGTTAACTCAGAGAAAAACCTCATGTTAATATAACTTGACAATTTGTGTTTTGCTCTAATTTCATAAATTAATGTTTACAGCATTACTTGAACATAGAAATTTTGTGTTGACCACCACTGTATTTAATATATCCAGAAAACTGTTACCACAAGATAATGATGAACGTTTGTTTCATTTCAAGCACGCTATAATTCGCCTCTTGGCACAAGTTTTTAGATTTTGTCCTGCTTTCCTTTCTACCATTTAATGTGTCAAAAAAGCTGTTACTTTTTGTTT